AGTGGATCATTGTTTACAAATCAGTTGTTGTAGAGTCTGACAACGTATTGTCCGATAGTGGATCATTGTTTACAAATCAGTTGTTGTAGAGTCTGACAACGTATTGTCCGATAGTGGATCATTGTTTACAAATCAGTTGTTGTACTATCTGACAACGTATTGTCCGATAGTGGATCATTGTTTACAAATCAGTTGTTGTAGAGTCTGACAACGTATTGTCCGATAGTGGATCATTGTTTACAAATCAGTTGTTGTAGAGTCTGACAACGTATTGTCCGATAGTGGATCATTGTTTACAAATCAGTTGTTGTACTATCTGACAACGTATTGTCCGATAGTGGATCATTGTTTACAAATCAGTTATTGTAGAGTCTGACTACGTATTGTCCGATAGTGGATCATTGTTTACAAATCAGTTGTTGTACTATCTGACAACGTATTGTCCGATAGTGGATCATTGTTTACAAATCAGTTGTTGTAGAGTCTGACAACGTATTGTCCGATAGTGGATCATTGTTTACAAATCAGTTGTTGTAGAGTCTGACAACGTATTGTCCGATAGTGGATCATTGTTTACAAATCAGTTATTGTAGAGTCTGACAACGTATTGTCCGACAGTGGGTCATTGTTTACAAATCAGTTGTTGTAGAGTCTGACAACGTATTGTCCGATAATGGATCGTTGTTTACAAATCAGTTATTGTAGAGTCTGTCAACGTATTGACCGATAATGACAGACTTGGTGAACTACCGTTACTTATCGTATCTCTAATATTTAAACACATTATATTACTTTTAATAATGATAATGGCTTAGTAGTTTGTTTCAAAAAATAATTAAAGCTGATGTAGTTTTGTGGAAAGTTGTAGGCACAGTTCAAGATACTCTGAGCCTCAAGTAGAGGTACTCCTCATACACACGTTATGCAGTGTCTTATACTACCCTGCATGTATTACGTCACCTTTAATTTGCAGAACATCTCACAATAATTTAAAAACTGAGTTAAAAACACGAAGTTTTGAAATACAGAGTCAAACGTTTTAGCTGTAGGTTCTTATCTCTTTTTTTTTTTTTGTTTTATTTAGTTTCTCACTGAAGATGACACAAGTTGCTACGGAATCGTTTGGCTCCAGGTTTTGAACTTTTTTGTTGTTGTTGTTTTGTTCTGTTTCGTTGGCCACTGAAAATGACACAAATTACCATCCAAACGTTTGACTCTAGATTTTTTGAAACCCCCAGTGGCACAGCGGTATGTCTGTTTCGATACCCGTAGTAGGCAGAGCACAGATAGCCCATTGTAACTTTATGTTTAACTACAAACAAACATGATTTTGTAATTTATTATGTTTTGAATCTAGTTTTTAGATTCGTGAGTTCATAGATTTTCAGTGAATTAATTTTTCTGATTTCTAAGTCTTTTGTATGTTACATTATTTATACTGTTGTCTTTCATGTGAAATCAAGACTTGAATCCAAAATGGCGCCATTAACCACATTAGACGAATTGCTTTACCGGTTAAGGAAGTCTGGACCTCCTGAATCCAAAGCTGCGGCACTGCCAGCACCTCAGGTTTCAACCATGGCTACCGGATCAGGCGTAGCAAGTCCAATACCAGAAGTAGACACTAGTGCTCCTGGAAATGCGACTACTATTGCTCCTGAAGAAAATATTGGAGAGAAAATATTGCATGAAATTATGGAAAAAACGCACTGTAAGTACGCTAAATAAATACGGTAGATTAGTTTTATTAGTTTTATAAAATAATTAGTACTTTTTACAACGATTCAAATAAATGTATTGTTTCTGAGAGAACTGAAAAATAAAAATTAAATAGCTTGTGTTTGTTTAATTTATTTTATCCGCATTTCTACTTTCTTCATATGAAAAGCTCCTTTATAATAATCAAACTACCTAATCTTGAGTCACTCTTATACCTATATCATGTTTCGTGACTATTTCATTGTATGTCCAACTGTTACATTACATCAAACCATTCTTCAGAACTTAAATATTCGTAAAACACTGTCGTCCATTGATTGTGTAGGTTAATCTTTTAGAAGATTCGAATATATAAGTTACACATAACATGGAAAATTAGTCACCAGAGGATATTATCTATGCTCATATTTGTCAGTTTTGTTATGTGTCACCAGAGGATATTAACCATGCTCATATTTGGCAGTTTTGTTATGTGTCACCAGAGGATATTAACCATGCTTATATTTGTCAATTTTGTTATGTTGCATCACATTTATATTAAGTGATGTCCGAACATAATGGCTATCACAAAATCAGGAGGTATCACTGGGGGCGGTGGAGGGCGACAGAGGCGGTTGCCTCACCCCCAAGGTCAAGGAGGGGCCCAAATAGCTGTTTTTATGAAACATTTATAGTGAGGCCAGATTAAGACATATATGCAAATTATGCTATAGTGTAGGGCCCCCAGCTAAATTGGCGGAGGGGGATACACGAGGTAAGCAGTCTCCCCCCCCCCAAGTCTTTCGTGAAATGACGATCCTGCGCATGATATCCATAATCAAAACTTAATGGTTCTTTTGTTTTTTATTAGTTTGAAAATAAATGAGATAGATAGAAATACAGAAGTCCCCCGATGGGACACCGGTAAGTCTACGGATTTACAAAGCTAAAATCTGGGGTATGATTCCCAGCAGTGGTCACAGCAGATAACCCAATGTGACGTTGCTCTAAAAAGACAGATTGATTAATGAATTCTGAAGAGCACGTAAACCCTTAAAATGAAAATATAGAGTGGATAGTTTTGAAATATACCTTAATATGTGTAACATCCTTATGAAGGATATATCGCGCATAAATATCGATAATTTAGTTTTGATGACTGTTTTAACTCAACATAATGTTATTTTCTATTTGAGATAACTATGGACTAGGTGGCATTTTTCTACACAAAAATGTAAGTTAGATATAATTTACCGACTGAAGTCCTTATATTAATTCGAGGCGCTACAGACTGGCTACACAAACACATATAAAACATCAATTGCGTTTTACACACTAGCACAATTCTACACACTACTGAAACTTTACGTACTAATAGCATGTGGTATATTATAATAATATTACATATGAGTACCATTTTACATATAATAACATGTTACACATTGTTACTATTATAGACATCTATACAACTTTACTCGGTAATTCCATATAACATAATATTACCATTTTACACACCAATAAACTTTTACACATTGATACCATTTTCACATATTATTACCATCTTACGCATCGATTGATTAGAGAACTGGTCATTCATGGTTCGCGTTCTGTAGCCGCAAAATCGCGATCCACATTATGATTGACGATCAAATCCCACAATTCGATTAGAGTAGCACAAAAATTGGTGCGACGTGCTTTTGATTTACTGCCTTCCCTCTAGTTTCTTTGTTCAAAATTAGGGATGGCTGTAGTATTCTCAAGTGCACTGATTTACATTCAAGTAATTGGGAAGATTCCACAAAGTAAAAGGAGGTTCAATCAGAAAACGTATAAAGAGTAACTCTGAACTGAGTTGCGAAAGAAAGGAACTGGACACAGTGTGGAACTATTTCAAACGATCTTTATATATTTAAACAAAGAGTCAAAGACTAGGTGAGTGTGGAATCTTTACTGGAGAATGCCTGACGTAGGTTCAGCGATAAGTCAGTGGACTTATAACACTAAAATAAGGTTTCGATACCCGCGGTGGGCAGAGCACTGATATCCCATTATGCAGCGTTGTGCTTTACAACAAACAAACACATACTAAAGAAGGCTCTCAGAAATATCAACTGGAAACTGGTAAAAACCTGTGAAGAATCTGTTCCACACTGAGAAAACATAGCATTATGTGCATGAAACAATAATGCTGTTCTTTTCAGGATGCATGCTCTACCCACGTGTCTGTTGGTAATTCCCGTCGAAACATAAGAAAGGTTATTCTTCAAGGTATCACCTGACCTTCCTGTGGAAAACATCACTGTCTATTTCTACATAACGTGTTCAACTTTGCATAAATATTTCCTACGAGAGAACACACTTATTACCCTTGGAGAATGACTCAGTACAATAGGTAACTACGGCGAAATTAACCTTTTTTCTTGTTTGACTAATAATAATATAAATATTTCCTACGAGAGAACACACTTATTGCCCTTGGAGAATGACTCAGTACAATAGGTAACTAGGGCGAAATTAACCTTTTTTCTTGTTTGACCAATATTCTATAGTTAAAATTCCATACACGTGTATGCATGAATGTTTTGATACAAACAAATATTTTCACATCAACTCCATTTTAAACATTACACTTCACCAACTTAATTTAGTTCACACCATAACAATTCATTCAATTTGATAATATAAATAGCGTCTCAACCATTATTGTGTCTGGTGTATACCAACTGACCTGATGAGCCCTGGAACTGGCCGGAAGGCCTTGTCGATACTGGCTATATCAGATATAGTGAGGTTTACATATTGTTACACGTTCTTCTTTACTTTCACTTATAAGTTCTTAGAATAAATACAAGTTCTGAAGCTTAGATCGCAAGAGAAAAATCACTAACATTTTTATATCGTTATTTTTAGGCGATTATTGATTATACTACAAGGCCCTTGATTGATTTATAACGCTAAAATTCTGGGTTCGATGTTTACGGTGGACGAGATCAGACAGCCTATTATGAAACTTTGCACTTACAACAAACACTACAAAATTACGGTGATATTGGTTACTTAAAAATTTGAAGGTTCAGGAGTTTCTAATGTTCAAAGAGCTATTAAGATAATAATATAAAATGCTCCAAATGTTGAAGAATCAGTAGTCGTAACCTTTGCGTTTGTAAATTATTTAGGTACTGATAGTAAACCTTTACTTTTTAGCACTAGCATGTTTTTAAAACGTTTTATGAAGCACTACAAATAACTTGTTAAATGCTTACAAGGCATTTTTAATTGACTGCTTTCATCTAGGAAGTTTTGGTTGACATTTCGAACTGTTAATAGACTGCGTCTGTTTAGACGGATACAATCCATTAAAACGTTTCCAAGCATACTCTCCTCTATATAAACCTTTTCTCAAGCAAGAACTTGTTAAAGGTTATTCTCTTAAGCATTTTTTTGTATGTCGAAAAATACGCTTTGCATTACATTTCAGGCCCGTACGCAGAATGTTTGAGGGGGGGGGTTCTAATTTGTAAGATCAAAAGCCAACATATATTGTGCAAAACATGCTAATGGTACCGATGGCCTAGGGGTATGCCTACTCCCAGAAACTTTTTAATAAACAGATGCTATGTGGTTAAATCTGGACCAGTTTTGTATGAAATATAGCTTAAATAATTGCATGGTTGTTCACATAATATCCACAAACACCCAATGAAATGTCAACAAATCATCATTCTGTCGTAACACTGCAAGGGGAGCTAGGCTTAAATTAGCAAAAATGTGTATGTTTTATTATAGTAAAGTACTTTACTATCTACGTGTAGTGTAGTTATTAATTGTTAAGTTATATTACTAATTTAAACTCCGTACGACAATAGTATATTCGCTATTTCAATCATTGGCTGTCATATACGTACATGTATGCACTACTGAAATTACATGTTAGCATGCTCCATTCTTCTGGGTGCTTTTCCATAAATAACTTACATACAGTTTCAGTGTTCATAGCAGTGTCATAATGATTATGTATTAAAGCTAGAGCACTCAGTTTTTCTTCTGTTTGTGTACACCTCAGGCAATTATTCAACCAGGGAAGAGCAGATGCCGAACGTTCCACAGCTATAAGTTACAGAACGTCCTTCATTTCTGTGATTGTTACCGTTGTTGTTTCGGTACTTATTAATATAGTAGCCAGGTGTGATAGAATGTTACCACAGCTATAAGTTACAGAACGTCCTTCACTTCTGTCATTGTTACCGTTGTTGTTTCGGTACTTATTAATATAGTAGCTAGGTGTGTTAGAATGTTACCACAGCTATAAGTTACAGAACGTCCTTCACTTCTGTCATTGTTATAGCAGTACTCTTCATGACGCTCTTCTTACCAATGCATTTTAAGAGTATATGTTTGATTATAGATCGTTCCCTTTGTTTCGTAAATGTTCATTTTCCATACTACTTTTGTGAGTTAGTATCTCTCTTTCAGTACACTTCCTTTTTCTATTATTACATCACCTTTATACGATTTCTCTTTCACAATTATAGATCCTACTTTTTCATCCAAAAGTTTTCATTTTGTTACAATGATAATTTAACAGTTGTTCGTTCGTCCATTTGTTACTTCTCGTGCTTCCTTTTAATAAAGTATTGCTTTCGTGTATTATTCTAGACGCTTTTATGAAATAAAATAATTTTCAAAGCACACCATCTGCCGTTTTTACAACACTCTTACAACAGAACTATTTATTCACTTCTTACAGTATCAGCTTACGTAATCATTCTAATTGCGATCGGAATATGTCTACTGTTTCTGTGTATCTGCTGCTGTTGTCTCAAAAGGTGGTGTAAACGTCGCCGAAAAGAGGGAAAAAAGGGAATCAAGGGTGCTATTGACTTGAAAGGAGTACAATTGTTAGGCAGTTCTTACAAAGAAAAGGTACTTTTGGTTAACTTTTATATCATTAATATTTTCCTAGTGTGATAAATAAGGGACTGAAATATTTATAAACTACTGAATGATTATATTTATCGGATCTCTTTCCTTCTCTCTCTCTCTTTCATAAAAGGACTCATTACTTTATGCTTAAAAATGAAAGCTTAACAAAAATTAACATTAATTAGGAACATCATGAACATTATGTTTATGAATACAGTTTCTTGTTTAAGTGAAAAAGTTTTGTATTTAGGTATATACCTATAGTTAGTAGTTTTCCCTACAAGGATGATAACATATACAATATCAAAATACGGTAACTTCCTTAAATGTATTTCGGTTGTTATCAGGTTCAACCAGACATGGAGGATCTGCAGGATAACATGGAGGCGAATGAAGGAGATGAAGAGAGTGCCAAGTCTGAAATCAAACTAGGTCGTCTTCAGTACAAGCTGGACTATGACTTCAATAACAGCAACGTAAGTTATGTCGTGTTCGAAGTATGAAGAAGGCCGTTTTCAGTTCTAGATAGACTATGACTTCAATAACAGTAACATAAGTTATATCTGTGCATAGAAGTCTCACGAAAGTCGTCTTTTATTCTAGATAGACTATTGCAGTAACGTAAGTTAGTTTGTATTCAGACGTTGCTCAATAATACTTCTGAACAGAGAAATCAAGAAAAGTGAGGTTAAAAGCACTTGAAACTAGGAAGAAGTACCATGTTTTGCTTAAATGTTTAGACTTTTAGCCATTTAAGGTTGTCTCTTTTTACTTGTTTTTTTTTCTCTTCACGTACTATTATTATAACTACCTGAAAATAATAACTGAAAATAAACTTTGCAACTTCTTTTCAGTGTGTGGTAAATATAAAGTTTCAATATACTAACAAATAAAGTACGCATTATATATTTTTGTTATATAACAAACGTCAGCTTATATATATATATATAT